ACCGTTAAAAGATATCTCATCTCGTGAAAATTTTCAGGAATTCAAGTCACAGTTGTTGTAAGCCAGTTAATCAAAGTTATGTTGAAAAAGTAATAAAGTTGCGCCGAATCAATAATATCAAACTAATTTAAAGATGTTTACAAAAGATGAAAGCTAAAAGTAAAAAAAAACTGATCTTCAGAAGGAGCGAATTGTTATCTACACTCACTAAATTATAATTAATCGCTTGAGGCAGAAAGTAGAACAAGATTCCTCCCAAAACGACCTATTTTGGCAAAATTATACAATCTGATCACAATAAAAAAATCTTTAAAAAACCTCAATAAAGAAATTAGTTAGACCATAATCAATTATAGTTTACTCATTGATGCTTTTCAGAGTTTTCATGGCTCAACAATCCTATAGTTGTTCAAAATGCAAACCGTTCCACGAGCTTCCCTAAACGGAATTTCCGGAACTTCATTTCCGATTGAAATTTTTTGGTTTGTATGTGTTTGGAAACTCAATTCGATTAATCTACAAAAAAAACACTCATTAAATTTTAAAACCAACCAACTTGCAAACACCTTAGTTACGGGACAGCACTTTTCGATGTCACAATCAATCTGTGGTTTTTCACAATGAGTACAAAAATTTAGCCTAAATATACCTCAACAATTTTTGAATTTCAAGAATTATGGATGGTGGCCTTTTGTTCTAAAACTACCACGATTTGTAACAAACAGGTCTACTAGGTAATTTTTTTACTCCGCAGATTATCTAAATAATCAAATATAATTTTTAAATTTAAAAGCCAAGTCTGGTTTCCGCGCTATTTGGTTTTCGCGCTTCCGTAACTTTGGAAAATGAACTTGACTTGAAATTATGAATACATCAAAAGTCAAAAGAAAACAGTGAAATCTGAGGTCAAGTAACCTTTCTAAAACAACCAAAACAAAAAAGCACCGTACAGATAAAGTTTTCAGTCGCTTGAATCGCAGAGTACTCAAGTAGCTTCGCAATCTTTGCAAGACAAATAAGTATGCCAGCTTTCAGATACTAATGATTCATTAAAACTGCTTTGACAAACTCAAATCAATTGTAGCAATCAGTTGTTCTCAGATGTATCATTCAGCGCTTTCCTTTGTCTGAGAGAAGGAAGAAAAAAAAACAAAATAAACACAAGTCGTCCTCAAGTCGCATGCTATTTTTCCCAAAAAACCAAAAAAAAATCTTGGTGGAACTCAATTACGTGCATCATCACAGGATTACATCAAAACGATTTTCAGTTTCAGTGATTAGTGCTTAAATCTGTAGCAGTTTTTTACGCAAAAAAGTAAACAGACACTTGATAAGACGGAAACGATTTATTTGTCTGACATCTTTCCGTTTGCTGGATTCGAACCGGGCAGTTCAACGCAAGCACGGACGCATTCACTGCGCTTAATTGAAGCACATGAATGATTCAGTGGTTTTCTTAGACCTGTTAAAGTTAGTCAATGACAAGATTTGATACCGCTTGCTAATCACATGCGTAATAAAAGCTTTGACATCCGAATTTTAAAAAATTTAAGGTTAGTCTTACCTGGAACAATTTCCCCATTCGATTGTCGAGAATTTATTGGTTTTGGCTTATTCTTACTAATTTCAGTTTTTACGGTTCTATTTACAGGGTATGCCGAAGCCTCGTTTACTGTCAACGAAAAAACGAAGGACGAAGTGTAGTAAAATATAAATAGCAAGTTCATGAAGTAATCCTTGAACAAAAGCATACTCTAGCACGATACATGTGACTGCCGCTCGGGAGAAAATATTTATACAAACTAGGATTGCTGAGAACAACTAGCAGACTTCAGTGTCATGTACATTCAAATAAGGAGATCCAACACTATAGGTATAATATAAATAATAAACAGCTCAGGTACAATTTAATGCCTCTTTTGACAGCTGAGGCTCTGGAATGAAGTTTACCTCGCACGAACATGATCAAAGCTCATCTTAATGAAAAATATATTTGCCCCCAAACAGAATTTCTTCGCTTCTAAAATAAATGAATTGCCATTGTCCTCATTTCAGAAAATTGAGAATACACAGAACATGCTTTTTATTGATAACTGTTACATAATACACCACAAGCATAATGTTTAGTTTGATGATTTAATGTGAAAGACTTCAGAGATCCTTGTCGAAGAAACTCTGGATTCTAGGAATAGTCAATTCGATGAAACTCAATTCGATTAATCTACAAAAAAAACACTCATTAAATTTTAAAACCAACCAACTTGCAAACACCTTAGTTACGGGACAGCACTTTTCGATGTCACAATCAATCTGTGGTTTTTCACAATGAGTACAAAAATTTAGCCTAAATATACCTCAACAATTTTTGAATTTCAAGAATTATGGATGGTGGCCTTTTGTTCTAAAACTACCACGATTTGTAACAAACAGGTCTACTAGGTAATTTTTTTACTCCGCAGATTATCTAAATAATCAAATATAATTTTTAAATTTAAAAGCCAAGTCTGGTTTCCGCGCTATTTGGTTTTCGCGCTTCCGTAACTTTGGAAAATGAACTTGACTTGAAATTATGAATACATCAAAAGTCAAAAGAAAACAGTGAAATCTGAGGTCAAGTAACCTTTCTAAAACAACCAAAACAAAAAACCACCGTACAGATAAAGTTTTCAGTCGCTTGAATCGCAGAGTACTCAAGTAGCTTCGCAATCTTTGCAAGACAAATAAGTATGCCAGCTTTCAGATACTAATGATTCATTAAAACTGCTTTGACAAACTCAAATCAATTGTAGCAATCAGTTGTTCTCAGATGTATCATTCAGCGCTTTCCTTTGTCTGAGAGAAGGAAGAAAAAAAACAAAATAAACACAAGTCGTCCTCAAGTCGCATGCTATTTTTCCCAAAAAACCAAAAAAAAATCTTGGTGGAACTCAATTACGTGCATCATCACAGGATTACATCAAAACGATTTTCAGTTTCAGTGATTAGTGCTTAAATCTGTAGCAGTTTTTTACGCAAAAAAGTAAACAGACACTTGATAAGACGGAAACGATTTATTTGTCTGACATCTTTCCGTTTGCTGGATTCGAACCGGGCAGTTCAACGCAAGCACGGACGCATTCACTGCGCTTAATTGAAGCACATGAATGATTCAGTGGTTTTCTTAGACCTGTTAAAGTTAGTCAATGACAAGATTTGATACCGCTTGCTAATCACATGCGTAATAAAAGCTTTGACATCCGAATTTTAAAAAATTTAAGGTTAGTCTTACCTGGAACAATTTCCCCATTCGATTGTCGAGAATTTATTGGTTTTGGCTTATTCTTACTAATTTCAGTTTTTACGGTTCTATTTACAGGGTATGCCGAAGCCTCGTTTACTGTCAACGAAAAAACGAAGGACGAAGTGTAGTAAAATATAAATAGCAAGTTCATGAAGTAATCCTTGAACAAAAGCATACTCTAGCACGATACATGTGACTGCCGCTCGGGAGAAAATATTTATACAAACTAGGATTGCTGAGAACAACTAGCAGACTTCAGTGTCATGTACATTCAAATAAGGAGATCCAACACTATAGGTATAATATAAATAATAAACAGCTCAGGTACAATTTAATGCCTCTTTTGACAGCTGAGGCTCTGGAATGAAGTTTACCTCGCACGAACATGATCAAAGCTCATCTTAATGAAAAATATATTTGCCCCCAAACAGAATTTCTTCGCTTCTAAAATAAATGAATTGCCATTGTCCTCATTTCAGAAAATTGAGAATACACAGAACATGCTTTTTATTGATAACTGTTACATAATACACCACAAGCATAATGTTTAGTTTGATGATTTAATGTGAAAGACTTCAGAGATCCTTGTCGAAGAAACACTGGATTCTAGGAATAGTCTCCACCCATGCAATACATCTCCTCTTGTCATCATCACAGAGGTCACAGTGCCAGAACTCACTCTCTTCCCCACAGGGAGTTTTCTTCGGAATCGGCAGTCTCGTCTTCTGCCACTCGAAGCAGTGGTTGGCCGAGATGTTGCACTTGACGAGAGGATCATTTTAACTCTACGCGAAATTATTTTTGGTCGGATTTCAATACTTAATTTATTAGGTGCTTATCAATTGTCAGTCTCAACTCATATCCGACATGAATAAATCACCCGCCAACCCGTAAATTATCCAAGGCCCCTTTGGCACATAGTAAATACAAGCGCTAAGGGGTAGCGCTCCGAAAACCTAAATTTATAAAGAGTCCTTGTTGTCTAAATCGGATAATGTCTTGTGATTTTCGGTGTTTTAAGGGAACTTTTCAAAAATTTTTGGCTTCAAAATTTTTTCGAAAACCCTAAATCTGACCCAACATAGTTCAATTATCAATCTTACTCAGTTATTTTATCATATTTTATTGAAATATTACCCGATAACTTCGAAATAATTGATTTATTCAGAAAAAAATCAGTTTAAATCGACTTGCATAGAACCTTCTACCCGTCTAGAAAAGCTTTAAACTCATTACAATGACAAATAACAATTTCCGAATCGCAGAGGAACTATCAAAGGCTATGTAGCCTGTCTAAGGATAGCCCGCTTCACTCAATAAAAAAGGACTAACAAAATACAAGATGTTGTTCCGCCTATTGCACTATTAATATTGTATTGCTCTAGTTAAACTGATTCCTCGAAGCACTCGTAGCCCAGTCGGTCACAAGGAGGAGGCACTTCGTGAACTTCCTTGGGCGGCGCAGTGAGGATGCTGGTCCTGGCCAGTTTCCGCATAGGTGTGAACCAACTATCAACTGCGATGACATTGGCCATCAACACGATTGTGATAATGGATAACATTTTTATGTAAGCTGCTATCAGCTCGATGCAGTAAGAAAAAAAACCGCGGCAAACTTTCAACTTTTATTTAAAACTGACAAAAAATGTTACGCAAGATAATGATAATGTTTGAAGCGCATGAAAAACACTTTTTTATGGAATATTTTAAATTTCTCGATAGCTAATTAACACAACTTCTTGATTCGCTCACACAAGCGTAATTTTGAAATCGACTCATTATTTACATATTTACAATTTTCAATTTTGAAGAAAGAAACTTTTTAAAGTGGTAACTATTTAAGGCCCCAGAAACAATCAAGAAAGTCAGATATGGCAAGTTATCATTGTAGTGTAACAAAACACTTATTCTCTGAAAATCTCTTTGAGATTTCGAACAAAAACACTACTGAGAGCTGCCTCTTCGCATAGCCAAGTTAAGCATAGTTTTAAACTCGTTTTTAGCACCATTAGAGTTGTTCGATCCTGGTTTGCATTCACTCTGAGAGTTTGAGGAGCTAGTGCTTCTATTGCTTTGCAATTTAGCCGCGCGATATAGTGCCATAGTTCTATCTTGGGGCTGCGATGCTACTGAATGGTGTGAAGATACACTTGCTCGACTTTGAGTCGATCCCTTTCGGGGGAAACTGCGATGTGAGGAGCCGTCTCTGCTTTCGGGCTGTGGCGGAGTGGGTTCTTTTGTATACTGCATTTGCTGAGAGCGCGATGATATCATCGGTGCTTTAGGGGGCAAATCGGTCCTTATTTTATCGTTTCCATTCATGTGATATCCGTTTTGAGAGGCATCATTGTTGAACGAAAACTGGTTGAGTTCGGGTAACCGTGTCGACCCATTGTGCATGGTGTGTTTGTTTACCATCTGGGCGTTTGAGTTGGTTCTATCTCCATTAATCAGATGGTTTTTCAGTAGCGTCTCTCTCGCATCTGATAATGCTTCGGTCAACTCAAAGCGCTCTTCGCATTCTCGTCGCACGGTGTCTTGTAAGCTTTTCACCTAAAATGAGATACCTATTTCTAATCTCTTCGCCTGATTCAGGAAAATAACTAAGCAATCAACCAATATCTCCCATTTTTTGTAATTTTTAAGACTGCTCATTTGAAAAACTGCCACTAATTATTGTTCCGACCACAAAAGCTGTGAAAAATGGAATCTGTTTTATTGCACCAAAATTCAACTACCACAAATAAAGGTTCATTCAAACTATCTAAATTAGCGGTTGTCTTTCCTTAAATTTTGTGAGTTGCCTTTTGTTGCGAGTTTCTTTTGTTTGACTACGCAATTTAAGTTTATAAGTTTAGACACCTACTGCTTCACAAAAAAAAATTTCTTCTCAGTAATTTTTTGCTCTGGTCGTAGAATTCTGGGCTATTTGAACAGCAATCGACTATTTTTGTACATTTTATAAATGTTTAGCATCACGTCATCAGCCTTTGAAAAGCACTTCTCAGATACAAATCAAGATTTTCAAGTTATAACGATTGTTTTTTTTTATATCAGAATCTTCGATTAACAAAACTCACTTCAGATAGAGCTTCTTCCAGTTTCGACTTCAACTGATTTCTTTCTCCGCCCAGAACTTCATTTTCCCTCAGCACGTCTTCTAATTTGTTCGCCTCATCCGCGCTAAGTTTGTGTTCCATACTCTGTTGTTCGTTCAACTTCTCTTCTGCCGCTCTTAGCCTCTGGGTGACCAATTCTAAGTCTCTGTGCTTCGATTCCAGTTTCTCATCACAGCTACTTTTTGTGACCTGCAGATCTCTCTTTAGACTAGATATGGTAGCTTGCAAGGCTTTTGCTTCCTCTCGGGCGTATGAGATCATCTAGTACGAAAAAAAAGAAGTTCAAACTTCGACAGGGAGGCGAAGCTGCACTTGGCCAACAAGCAAAACAGAAATCCCACAATGGAGCTTAAAAACGTATAAAGCATCTATCTCTCTGACTCAGCAAATGATGGGCGCTAAAGTAAAGCGCATAAAATGCATTTTAAAAGACAATAATCAGGTCAATAACAGAAACTGCCGGTCATATTACCTAATTTGTAACACAAATTGACATTATGGATTTTGAAAAATCTTGCAAGGCTGAAATAAAGTTTGCCAAAAACGTACCTCATTTCTTGTAGCTTCAACTATTTTGCTCTGATTTCCTTGAAGCTCATTGAATTTCTGCCGTTCAATGTCAAGCTCCTGAAAACAAAAATAAATCATTTTCTTGATTATCACAAGCTTAAAACCTAATAACAAACTGAATACGACTTACAATTTTATGACTTTCGGCCATTGAGTCCAAAATCATCTGCTTCTGTCTCGCAAACTTCTCTCGTTCGTTCAGCAAACTCTCCTTTAGCTGCAAAAAATAATAAAGTTTAAAATTTCGGCAGTAAGGCCAAGCAACACTGCAATCACACAGCAAAAAAATTGCAAAGGGGAGCTTAAAACATGCAATAAATTTAACAAAAAGCGAAAAAAACTTTTGAAATTTAAAAGAAAATAACTTGAAATTAAAAAAATAAAAAAGATAAAACACACGCAAAGATTGAACAGCAGATTTAGTTAAAAAAAACACCAGTTTAAATATTCTGATAGAGGCAAAGAAAGCAATAAAAACAAAACTTTAGGGAAATTTTGGCCAGTTAGTAAAACACTGGTCTAGAGTCACAGTCAACTGAATAGTGACAATCAAATCCACTTGAAACTTAGAGTCACAAAAATTCTCTGATGTGAGCAAATCCAAGAAAGCATCGCATTATAAGTGCCTGGGGATGTTTTTTCTTTAAGTTACTTTCGAATATTAATTCAAAGGAATTTTTATACCTCCAGAAAAATATCCAAGCTATGAGCTCAAATATGAAACGATATTTCACCTGTAACCAGGCTTATTCACTGATTATTGTGCAAGCAGACGTAAAGTGCATCATTTTGGGCTTAAAAAGGTTGCGAGCAAGATTTTCAATCAAAATCCAAATTTGTTATAAATTTCATCTTTTTTTACCAGAAAAAATAATTCAGACACCTTAAGAGGCAGTCGGGTCCTTCGGGTCTCCGCGCTTATGGGAGCAACCTTGCTACTAACTTTTTCGATTAATTATTTACCATTTTAGTTTTATTGAAGCAATAAGGAAGAATTATTAAAACGCCAAATTATTTCATTCATCGTCACGGATTTTCATTTAGACTGAAAACGATGTGATGAAGACTTAGCAAGAAAAAATGGCAAACGGGAGCAAAAATAAAAGGGAAACAGTCAACAGACAGTTGAAAAAGTTAACCACTTGCGATTAAAAAATAACAGGGCAGCTAGAGTCAAAAATAGGATGAAACACGACTGCCTGAGCCGAAAATTGTTTTAAAATTGATTTCTTTTATTTTTGTGCAAAATACGGTTAAATTTGAGGAAAGATACTGCGAAACACAATTCCCAGAGTTAAATTAGCATTAGCAAACAAAATTCATCAAGCGGGTACTGAGCAGACAAAACTTGATTAGACGACTGTTGAGCCGAAAAAAAGAGCTATGAAACAACAATCTGAGCCATGAAGTTTTATTATGATTTATCCGTAAGCACTAATTAATTTTTAAAAAATGATCCTTTAAACGACAACTTATGAGGCAACTAAGCAGATGTAACATCAACCGAAACCAATTCAGCCGAAGCAACCCTTAAAGTGACAATAAAAAGCAAAAAATATTGAGCGAAAAATGAAATCAAAAAGAAGTGTTGATTTACAACTAAACGCAAAAAATCGAAAGGAACGCCCATTTGAAATGCAGACATGCTCACAAGAATTATGTTGCCAGACATTCTCTCCTGTTGTCATCAGGACACTAATTGATCCAACTGAATTTCTTAAACTAGTTGTTAACCCGAAAACACGTTTATATTCCGATATGAAAACGCTTGCTAATCGCAAGCGTAAAAAGAATCTGGAAAACGAGAAAACTTGATTGAAAATGTTTCGTCTTTCAAATTCCGAAGAAAAATTAAAGCTCGTTGAAGCCCTTCAAATTTCGAATACTGTATATCACTGGCACTGTTCTCGTTAATTTATCCTTTTTAGAGAAAATTGAATCAATAGGTAATTTTTTCTTAAAATAAGAGCTTCGTAAAGCATTTTCTAAAAATTGACATTTATCATGACATTTTCACGCTTTTCGTGACCTTTTGCTGTTCGATAGTGGAATTTGCCTTCTTTACACAGGGGCGCAGCTGCGTTTCGCAAACACTATAAAAAAAAAGAAATAAGCCTCAAATTAGGAAAAAATTCGGCTATGTCTGGGATTCGATCTGCGACTTAGAGATTATGAGTCTCACGCATTAACCACTCAGTCAGGGACGCTTAATTAATGACAAGCGCTTGCTACAAATAAAGCAGAGAACAGCTTCTATGAAATATCCAATGCTACAGATCGTGCTCATAGCAAAAGTGCCACCAAATAAAAGAGCACTTGCAATGAACACTTTTATTTGCGAGTTAGGCTACATAAAAAGAAGGTTCGTACTAATACACTAACGCTCGCAAGCTGGCTCGTGTTAAGAAAAATAAATGAAGTGAACCTAGAGACAAATCATAAGTCAAACCACGGAAAATCAAATTTAGAGCGTGAACAACTTTTCTTGAAAAACAAAACTAACGAAAAAACATCAAGAACAAAATAAGTTAAAATCACTTGGTTCATTTACACTTAAAACCCTTCCACGGGATGCTAACCCTCTCACTCGGATATGAGTTTTAAGTTTTGCTCGTAATATAAACTCGTAATATAAAACCTGAGTTTGCTTGCGTAAACAACTCGTCTTTGGTCAAAACAAAAAATGCTCTCCTAGAAGATGCCAAGAACAAATAACTTTCATAGTGGACATGCATTAGCGACAATGTTATTTCAACCCTCCACACTGACCTTGGCTTCAAAGTCAGTCCCTCCCGAGTTAAGTCGCTGGCGGAAGTTCTCCTGCAGTTCTTCTAATCTTCTCTGGTGCGCAGCGATCAACACCTCTCTATATTAATAAAACATAATTAAAAACTGTTCAACAATCAGTTTTACTATTTATTTTTCCCGTTGTAGAAACTTTTGAAAATTATCCAGAGCTAAAAACATTCTCATTTACACTCACAACTATTTTGAACTTTAATCGATAAATGGATTTTTTCCTAATGGACGGGCCCTACTTAAAAATATCAAGTTAACAACCCAGTTTGAACTACTGTCGCCTGAAATCACCAACCTCTCCTGACGTAAGCTCTCGTTTTCACTCTTAGCTATGATAAATGCTTCTTTGATTTTCTCATAGTCCGTTATAGCCTGCTCGGTCTCTGCGAACTTCCTATTCGACAGTGCTTCATTCTTTGTCATTTGGTCTCGCAGTCGGGCGATATCGACCTCCAAATCTGCTATGGAACTGTTCTTTGCAGCTACCTCGTCCTTGTACCTGGAAGAAAAACACTAGCCGTTAAATATTTCTATATGATCCTAATAGCTTAGAAATATTACTACAATACTATTGCCTGAGGAGGTTTCATACCATTGAAGGGATTTCTGCAAGCTAGCCGAGTTGTTCTCCAATTGTTTTTTGAGCGTTTCCATTTCACTATCTTTGCTGCTGTAAAAAAGACGATATAAGCATTCTAATCATTGCAATAGAACCGTAGAAATTAATTGAGTCCATACCTGCTGAGTTGCTGATACTGAGCCGTTTCAAATGCTTTCCGTCGCAGCTCCTCGTTTTTCTCAGCTACAATTTGGTCCATTTCTGAAATAAAACACCATCTCACACGGACAAGAAAATGTTTCAAAAAAAAGGAATTTTTCACAGAAAATCACGCATTAGAATTATCGCGCATTTTCTCGAAAAAATATCACTAAGAAATCCAGGTACACGATCTTCTTTTTGCACCAAAAACGGAAAAACAAATCCTATTCTGTCTTGGATGCTGCAAAATTCGAAACAGTCTGTTGCAAAAAAACTTACCCGTTTTCTGCAGCTGGGATTCGGCATACATAGCTTTAAGCTGGGCATATGCTTTTTCCAATCCTAGCAACTCGTCATTGTCAGAGGTCAATTTAGTACATTGCACGTTCCTTTCTTCCAGCTGTTCGGTTAGCTTCGCCAATTGACCCACATAATCCGTCTTATCGCGTTTTAATCTGTCGATTTCTAAAAACAAATAGAAATCATAAATAATCTCTTCACTCAACTACAGCATTTAGCCGGGCCATTTTTGAAAACAAGAAACTTGAGTTTTCAGAACAATTTCACAATTCATCTGGCGTAAAAAAAATGATTTTTGTATTTCATATTCGCAAAAAAAAGCGTCAAATAAATAAACTATTCATGTTACCTTGAATTGAGGCAGTTTCAGTTTTCTGCATATGAGATTTCAAGCTTTGAAAAAGAGGAGACATCTCGCTGTTTAGTCCGGCGATTTGCATTCTAACATCGGAGTGGTTGGATCTAAGCCTTTGACATTGTTGTGCTATAGCCGGGATTAATTTGACAATTGACGAGTTTTTCTCCCTGTAAATATCACACAATCTTCAGCTTTGAATTATGATTTTTTTGACCTTCAGTAAAACATGGCATATGCATTGAAAACTTTGAAACGCTTTCTGAATAAATTGAAGCCGATATATAAATACGCAAAAAATGATAAGCCAATCACAACTTTTAAACTGATAATTGCTCACTGTCTACACCCCAATCAGCTGATTAAGACTCCGCTTTTCAATACTCGTTCAATTTTTCTGACCTGAGAGATTGAAGTTCACTTAGGAGATTCTCAATTTCTTTGTTTTTCGCGTTCAACTCCTTTTCGCCTTTCTCTATTTTGGTCTGCTCCTCCGCTAGTTTTGCCTCTAGTATATCAAAATTCTCCTTATTCATTGAGAGCTGACTTTTGCATTCAGTCAACTTTTGGTTTAATGTTTTGGATTCAGTTTTCAGATGATCATTTTCTGATTTCACGTTTTCACGAAGCGCCAATTCTTTCTTCAGTTCTGCTATCTGAAAACACAAAGCAAAAACATGGTTTATCAGTCAGTTCTGGACCAAAAAAACTCAGGTCTACCATATAAGTAGCACTAGGCCATACAATGACTCGCAGCAAAAGGTCAGTAAAAAATCTTGAATTTTGTTTTAATCTTCGCGTAATTAATCTTTACGCATTGATCCAGTTTTCTCAATTTGGATTAAATACATGAAAAAAATGTCAATTATAATTTAATCTACAAATTCAAAATCTATACCAAAATTTATACCGAAGTCTCTATACCAATGTTCTTTTCTTTGTTCCGGTTTATATCGGCGACATTTGTATTTACTCATATACTAGTGCAGTTGTTTTGAATTTTTGTCTTTGTTAACTGGTTCGCAATGATGACGACCATTTCAGATGATAGTTTCTCTGATGCTGCACAGAATGTGCGAAAGCGCTCAGATATAAACATTGATTGTATGCTTTGTTTTTCATTCTGCTGGTATCAATGTTACTACCAACATCACTTTGGAGGAATATATTACAGCAAAGAGACATCTGGAACGTTTGGCTGAAGTACAGAAAGTGCCTTATTTGTCATCGAAATAGCGTCTACCGGAAGAGGTTTTTGAGACTGTCTCACGAACGACCTGATACCGGGGTTTTTGCAGTTCCGTGTCTCCGAGATTGGGTGTTTCGAAGAGACTATTGTACATAACTTCCAGCGACGCCTGTTGCGCAAAGAACTTGCCGCATCATTGCGAGCGATTGAGGATGCGAGTAATCGTCTCGCGGTGCAGCGGTTGACAATAGCGAAACTGAACCTACCAGAGCACATAATGAGGAATGTAGTGTTCCATTCGCGCGCGCTTGCACGACAGGTGAACAAAGAAACATGTGAGCGTCATGACAAGAAAATAGCCGGTCTTGCGACGAGGCAGGATAAACCCCTCCGCGGTATTGGAACCACTGTGAGCACCATTGTAGATGTTGAACTCCCACGCTGGGCTACCGATGTTTTAACACTGGGACCCAAGCACCCCGTTCGTACGAAGTTTAATGAACTACATTTCTTGGCTGACGCTGATACTTTTCTAGCTGAATTGAAAAGAGAAGGTGCAAGTGTCGACACTCTCAATGAGGTCAACGGCTCTGTGACTTGGAATATCAAGTCGGCAAAACAACAAGGCGCCGACCGACTTGTGGAGAAGGTTATGCAGACTGAAGGAGCAAAACTGCAGACTGAAGGAGCAAAACCACTTACAATCAAGATTGAGGAAGACCTTAATCAGGAACTCCTTTCTCTTTTCCGGGCTGGAAAAATTTCAGAACGCATCTATAACGAATTCCGTTCAACAGGTGGTACACCGCCAAGATTGTATGGTCTCGTCAAAGTCCACAAAAAGGACACTCCGCTGAGACATGTGCTCTCCTTGCCGGGTAGCATTTACTACAACCTTAATTGCAAGCTTTCACTGTTTTTCCAAGACATAGCAGGTGCGAATATTGAGACATCCACTGTTGATATGAGGAATCGCCTTTGCTGCTGAGTTGGAACCAGACGAGGTGGTTTTCTCGATGGATGTAGAAATTCTCTATACCAACGTGCCCGTGGTGGAAACGATTCTCCTTGCAGCAGACAAGTTGTATGCAAGTGAAAAGCAGCCTCCCATTGATAAGGACAATTTTATTCGCCTTTTGAGTTTAGCAGTTACCAACGAGCATTTCATGGCTAACGGTCGATGGTACAAACAATGCGACGGTGTTTCCATGGGATCAGCATTAGCGGTTATTTTAGCTAACTTGTGGCTCAGTCAATATGAGGGAGTCCTTTCCGGTGCAGGCACCACTCTGTCGGTTAGCAATGCACGTTCAAGCTCCGATAAAAGTGTTTGCATGAGCTGCCAAAACAAGGTAACCAAACGAGGCTACTCGATCAGATGTAATGTATGTCTCATCTGGTGCCATCGCAAATGCACGGACCTAAAAGTTGATGACATGAGGTGGTACAGCCGCAACAAAACACCCTGGTATTGTGGTTGTCATTCCAACAGCGCTCAAGTGCAAGTATGCATCCCGAAAGCCAAAGTTTTGACAGGTATGCCGACGACATTATTAGAACAGCGAGAGTGACTGACATTGATGACATCATGTCACAGGCTAATAAAGTACACCCGTGCCTCAGGTTCACTTGCGAAAAAAAAGTGGACAATAAATAACCGTTTCTTGACATGACGGTGGAACGTAAAGATGGGAAACTCAGCACTGCCTGGTATAGCAAGCCCACGGATACAGGTCTCATGTTGTCTACCGGGCATGTGCCCCGAAACTGTAAAAGCGAAATATCAAAGAAGGTGCAGTCTGTCGCATCAATAACACCACGTCGATTTGGAACAAATTCTACAATGCACTAGTTTCAGCAAAGTGCATGTTCGAGAAGACCCAGTACCCACCGCCATATTACGATCCAATAGTAAACGAGAACGCAATAAGTAAAATGTTTACTCAAAAGGAACAACGGGCTACAGATGCGAAATTCAAAGAAAGGAAGTCACATCCCACTCTGCTGATAGAATATAGAGGACACATTTCCGATCGTATCAGTAGAAGTATCAGGAAGATCACAGAAGCCTGCGTTCTGTTTACCACACGGAAAATGAAAACGGTCTTACCTTCCCTGAAGAGCAAGATACCAGATGATCTGAATAGCCGATTCATTTACGAAATAACCTGTTCTGGATGCAATCCAGCTATGTCGGTCAGACGACACGGCATTTGATGACCCGACTAGCAGAACATGCCCGTATCAGCTCACTCGTTGGAAGTCACCTCAAAAACTGCATCGGAGACGCTTCCGAAATTTGCTCCAAGATTCTGGACCAGACTGAAGATCCAGGACGACTTCTAACGCTTGAGGCCCTGTATATCGCAAGGAGACAACCGACACTGAACCAACGCGAAGAATACAGGCAGCGGCAGCTTACCCTCAAGTTGTGATGGACACTTTTCTTTGTTCCGGTTTATATCGGCGAGATTTGTATTTACTCATATACTAGTGCCGTTGTTTTGGTTTTTTTTGTTAACTGGTTCGCAATGATGACGACCATTTCAGATGATAGTTTCTCTGATGCTGCACACAATGTGCGAAAGCGCTCAGATATAAACATTGATTGTATGCTTTGTTTTTCAGTCTGCTGGTATCAATGTTACTACCAACATCACTTTGGAGGAAGATATTACAGCAAAGAGACATCTGGAACGTTTGGCTGAAGTACAGAAAGTGCCTTATTTGTCATCGAAATAGCGTCTACCGGAAGAGGTTTTTGAGACTGTCTCACGAACGACCTGATACCGGGGTTTTTGCAGTTCCGTGTCTCCGAGATTGGGTGTTTCGAAGAGACTATTGTACATAACTTCCAGCGACGCATGTTGCGCAAAGAACTTGCCGCATCATTGCGAGCAATTAAGGATGCGAGTAATCGTCTCGCGGTGCAGCGGTTGACAATAGCGAAACTGAACCTACCAGAGCACATGAGGAATGTAGTGTTCCATTCGCGCGCGCTTGCACGACAGGTGAACAAAGAAACATGTGAGCGTCATGACAAGAAAATAGCCGGTCTTGCGACGAGGCAGGATAAACCCCTCCGCGGTATTGGAACCACTGTGTGCACCATTGTAGATGTTGAACTCCCACGCTGGGCTACCGATGTTTTATCACTGGGACCCAAGCACACCGTTCGTACGAAGTTTAATGAACTACATTTCTTGGCTGACGCTGATACTTTTCTAGCTGAATTGAAAAGAGAAGGTGCAAGTGTCGACACTCTCAATGAGGTCAACGCCTCTGTGACTTGGTATATCAAGTCGGCAAAACAACAAGGCGCCGACCGACTTGTGGAGAAGGTTAGCAAGCACCTGATGGACAATGCCCTCAGAGCGTTTCCTTAGACAAGGGAGCTGGATTCTGCATCATGAAAGAAATAGACTACAGCATGAGGTTGCAGAAAATCCTCTCCTATCGTCAATTCACAAAACTGCAGGTTGAAGGAGCAAAACCACTTACAATCAAGATTGAGGAAGACCTCAATCAGGAACTCCTTTCTCTTTTCCGGGCTGGAAAAATTTCAGAACGCATCTATAACGAATTCCGTTCAACAGGTGGTACACCGCCAAGATTGTATGGTCTCGCCAAAGTCCACAAAAAGGACACTCCGCTGAGACATGTGCTCTCCTTGCCGGGTAGCATTTGCTACAACCTTAATTGCAAGCTTTCACTGTTTTTCCAAGACATAGCAGGTGCGAATATTGAGACATCCACTGTTGATATGAGGAATCGTCTTTGCTGCTGAGTTGGAACCAGACGAGGTGGTTTTCTCGATGGATGTAGAAATTCTCTATACCAAGGTGCCCGTGGTGGAAACGATTCTCCTTGCAGCAGACAAGTTGTATGCAAGTGAAAAGCAGCCTCCCATTGATAAGGACAATTTTATTCGCCTTTTGAGTTTAGCAGTTACCAACGTGCATTTCATGGCTAACGGTCGATGGTACAAACAATGCGACGGTGTTTCCATGGGATCAGCATTAGCGGTTATTTTAGCTAACTTGTGGCTCAGTCAATATGAGGGAGTCCTTTCCGGTGCAGGCACCACTCTGTCGGTTAGCAATGCAAGTTCAAGCTCCGATAAAAGTGTTTGCATGAGCTGCCAAAACAAGGTAACCAAACGAGGCTACTCGATCAGATGTAATGTATGTCTCATCTGTTGCCATCGCAAATGCACGGACCTAAAAGTTGTTGACATGAGGAGGTACAGCCACAACAAAACACCCTGGTATTGTGCTTGTTAAATTCTACGATGCACTAGTTTCAGCAAAGTGCATGTTCGAGAAGACCCAGTACCCACCGCCATATTACGATCCAATAGTAAACGAGAACGCAATAAGTAAAAGATTTTCTCAAAAGGAACAACGGGCTACAGATGCGAAATTCAAAGAAAGGAAGTCACGTCCCACTCTGCTGATGGAATACAGA